GAGGAGGAGGAGGAGGAGGAGGAGCAGAATGAGAGGATTGCAAGAAGAGCGTACGGAAGTGAAAGCGCGCTCACCCGGCTGACGAGCGAGCAGCAGTCGGCGACGCCCGGGGCGGCGCGCGGCGCGAGCGGGCGCGCATACTGCACGTAGGCGCGCTCCAGCAGCAGCAGCACGGCGGCCAGCAGGATGCCCGAGCCCAGCAGCAGGAAGGCGGACAGGAACTGCTCCAGCGCCAGCGGGTCGCTGCGGCTCTGCTTCTCCTTGCTGCGCTTGCACGCGCCCGTGAACCAGAAGCGCTGCAGCCGCTCCAGGTCGCCTGGGCACATCCACACCCTCCGTACACTACTTGCAACCTTTCTAATAGTACAGCGCTAGTATGCGAAGTTTGTCAATGGAACATGCGAAAATGGGTCAAAGAAAAAATTTCCGGTTTGAAGTGCAAAAATTCATTGAAACCGTTTCCCTTCGTTAATTATTAATTTCTTGTTACGAAACCAATTTGAAACTTCTGAAATCGTAGTATTTAATGTTTCCTTTTTTTTGCCAAGAACATTCGTGTCATTAGCAAACTGAACTGTTCTTCCATTTTTAATGAACGAGTGCATATCATTTACATACAAAAGAAAGAGGGTAGGATCTAAGATCGAATCCTGCGGGGCCCCATGCTCAATTGGCCAAAAATCGGAAAAATAAGTAAATAGTTATTTTCGTGCGTAGCGTTAAAAAAGTAAAAAAAACAACTGATGAATGACGAAGTACAATTGTCTCTGAATGACCCTTTAGGTTGCCAAAATGACCAATCATTTCATTACTTCGGGTATCACGTAGTGTAAAAAATTTCAACAGTGGCTCTCCGATGTCACTTAGTTTGCGACTACCCCCTCTCTCACTCACAACACAATCTTTTAGGAAGTAGAAGAGCCTAGGGTCTAGTTTCGCGAGGCGTGTTCTTAAGATTTCTACCGTAGTATGGTGTCTTTGTGAGTATTCTGTGCGTTTAAGTATCTCCAAGAACATATCCAAGTTACATAATTCTGAGTAGATGATGTTTTTCTTTTCGGATTTTGACTCGTGGTGTTAACTATCATGAGGAACCATGAAACGTTTGATGATAACACAGTCACACACAACACAAAAAGTTGTCGGACTCAAAGACTTGAGCATGTTTCTCAATGTATTTCGATGCGCTGAATCCGAATTTGAAGCCAAAATTGCGCCACCTACCGCTTTTTGCTAAATCGCAAAAATAAATAAATAAATAAATAAATAAAACACAAAAAACACAAAAAAAACACCCTTGTGAGATTGTATTTTTTGTATTCGGGGGTTGTGTTGTCATACCCAAACTCTTGACACATGTTTCTCTATGTACGTCGACGCATTGAATCCGAATTTGAAGCTAGGTATTGTGCGACTTATTTTGGTGTTCCAGAATTATACATACTCTGTAGGTAGTTTGTCCATACGTTCCGGTATTCTATAATTTTTATCATTTAAATTAAGTATCCCTAATTTACTTCGTACATCTTCATTTTCTATCCTGTGTTTTCTTGGTAAGCACAACAATGACCAAAACAAATCTCATTTCAGAAACGTAAATGCTGCGGAGGCATTTGGTATGTAGTATGCACATTTAGCTTCGATAAAGGCCAGTTGATACAGCTAACATAAAATAAAAAATGGGAAAAATATATAGTCTTTTCTACATCTATTTACCATGCGCATGAAATGTCCCCGCCTAAGAACGTAATAATGCAAAATTCTTTTGCTCGGTTTTACAAAATATTTCTGGTGGATGGACTGAATAAACCACGTTTCCATACCTTTTTACATTTGTGACATCTGGCATTGTTTTCGCCCACCTTGTTATTAAAGCGATTTTTGCTTTCACTTAATAATATTCTAACACAACGTTCCCACGCGTGACACCGACGTCATGGGAGAACATTCCTAGCTTTGCGTTGGCTACAGAGATATAATAGATCTACTTCCTCGGATCGTTCTACTAACTTGTGTCTTACTACTGTGAACTGTCTTGAATTCCTTGTATTTTAGACCCCGACGGTATTAGATTTGGATGGCTCGGGAGCTATTAATTGATCTCTTCTCGTTACTTTTCTTTTGCAGTCTTTATCTCATGTCTACTTTTTGACTTCGTATTCTTCATATTGCTATCCCTCTTATTTCTTCTTCACTTTTCCAGAGGGTGGATAAGGCACTAGAGCTGAAGAGAGGGTATCTCATGTAGGAATGCAGGGCATGCCAAAGCAGACATATGGGGAAGAAAAATCCTCATAGGCACGCAGGATTTTTGCGTGCTCAGAAGCAGCAATTACTGGGAGCACCTGTACAGCGCTCGTAACAGAGGAATTTGTTATTACTGTATCATATTGTTTTGTTTTTTAAGGTCGCGTCAACTTCTAGATCATTAGCGACCACTAATCTTGTAACGGTATGGTAACTGTGAGGATGACACGATATGATGATGATGATGATGATGATGATAGGGGTTGAAAAAAGGATGAACACAATACAACCATGCCCGAGGCGGGACTCGAACCCGCCATCCTTCGGTCTGAGATCGCTACGGCACTACAGCCTTAGCAATTTCGGCCAACGGATCGGCACTGGATCATTGTATTACTGGAATCACACGAATTGTCGGAACATAGTGAGTACACATGTGGCTTCGGAAATCTAGTAAGCGCTCCCCAACCAGGGAAATATTTTATTCTTTACATCTTTTGTAAGGATAGAGAAAAATTTAAGAGTAGATGCCATTTTCTTTGGAAATTTGAATATTCAAATCATGAAGATTTGGATTTCTTTCGTATCTACAGCACTATGTTTAGTGAAGAAAGTTTTTCAAGAGTAAGCTGAAGTAGACATAGGGTATAATATCTTATTACAATGTAATTGTAATATGTTGAAATATTGCTTGCTGCATTATAATATTATGTATCCGTTAGCGATATAACAGGAAGTGTGTGATGTTAAAGGGGCACATCACTTTTTCTTGGCTTTGAGTAGAATTTATTAGGTAGGTAGCACATGCCTAGATGGGAGTATCTGTAGCTGAAGTCATTGTTTTTTTTCCCTAGAAAAGTGGGTTTGTCTCTCCGTGTTCACTGTGGAAACTATTACACCCATCACCAGTCGTCGCGTTTTTTCTTCATTTTCTCAGCTTGGGCCTCCGTGGAAAACACAGGAATTGATATTATTTGACTTTCATTCTCCTACACGACAGATCCTATTGTTTAATGTTTTCGACATTACCAGGACACTTCTTCCTTGCAGTTAGCGGAGAATTTAATGCCTATAGGACAAAACGTTCCCGTAAATGCAACACTTGCCACCCTTCAATCAGCTCTGTTTGTCAATAATTATGTCCGACTGCGATCTTTTTAAAAATAATTTTCGTTATTAAAACCTCATAACCGATCTAGCAGAAACCCATAAATTCCACGCAAGGATATGTATACTTCACTGCAATATCAGAAGAAATCATACCAAAATGAATGTAGCAATGTTTTCGCCAGGAAATGTAGCCTCGCAAATTAATTTTTAATTGAGAGCTAATGGACACAACTCAAAACGTGCCGTCAGAGCATTGCGCGAGCATTTTAATGCATATTTCTAATTCTCTGTCCAGACATTAAGAGTTAAATTAATTAATTTCATTTCAGATGGGTTATTATTGGCACGGAGAATAAAGGGGACAGACCCTGGTAGGAACGTTCCGCATTCAACAAGTATGATTATCACAAATGATAGAGTAAAACATTTTGAGATAAAGGTAATGAATTACAAAAATCACGTGAACACGTATGATGTTGAAAATGTATGAAAATCATACTGGCTTTGTGCAACCAGATTACTCTTCGTGTGTAAAACGTTAGCAAATATTGCCATTGGTGTGTCTCACTTTACAATGATGACCTCACAGCTACGTTAATTACAGATCCCAATTAAAATATACTTCCTCTGTAATAACCTGTTTGATTGTATCATCGAGTTTAATGTTGCGTAACGAGAAGAGGTGATAGGACTTGCCAAGACAAAGGTTCTGTTAATTGGAATTCACGTCCAGAAACGAACAGAGTTAAAGTTAAATTACATTTGCACCTGAATATAAGCAGTATTTAATGTATAAAAACTTGGTTTTTCCTACTTCCCTTCCTCCGTTTTAAAGTGGATAGTCCATATGTTCACGAATCTGTGCGAGAATACGGCCACGAAATTGCTCGAGTGGTCAAAATTTGCTTGATTGGTTAAGAACATTTACACTCATTCTCAGTAACTGATGACAGGAAGATATTGACGAACATTAAGGAATCGAACCAAATGTGATGTATTCACCATAATTTTTATTATTTATCATTTTAGCAACTTTTCATGTCCTCGCCATTATTATACGTATAAGATCTTCCGTAAGTTAAAAATCAAGAAACAACCTTATTTGAGGTAGTATAATTAAAACGCCAGCGAAGAACCTAACAACATAATTTACTTACACACATTCATCAACGCCTTGTAAGAATATTGAATACAAGTTTTGTTCATAAATGTATTCAACATGTTCTTCTTAAATTGCCATTTTTCATCACTCGCGGAGATCTTCAAAATAAGTTAGACGCCGCAAGTTTGTAAAGAATAACGGCTTCTGTTGAAATTTAAATTTTTTAAAAAATGCACTGCGTATTGGGGAAACACATTCTGAATTTTGTCATGTTAGATCTTGTTCTAAGAAACTTTGCAAAACAATCATTAGATACAATAGAAAACACAAAACGCTTCTAAAATAAATCGCATAGGTAAAAAACTGTACGTCAGTTTGAGGAATAGGAAACCGACTGTTGTTTCTGTAATGAGCGATAGCTTTTCTGTAGAGAGAGAGAGAGAGAAAGAGAGAGAGAGAGAAAGAGAGAGAGAGAGA